CTTAGAAGGCTAGGGCCAAAATGTTGGCTTTCCTTGCAGCCCTCCTTTTTCTCTAATTTTGGTCTGCAAACTTAGGTTGTTAACCATCCATGGAAATCCCATTTAATCCAGCAATTCTTTTACTGGGAATCTTCCCAGAGGATCTGAAAACATCATATCACAGTGACATATGTGTGCCTATGTTTATAGCAGCATAATTTGTGATAGGCATATCTTGGACACAACTAAGATGCCCATTACCTGAGGAATAGATGAAAAAAATGTGGTATTTTTATACAATGTAGCATTACTCAACTATAAAAAAATGATAAACTTGAAGCCTTTATATATAAGTGGATGCCACTTGAATATATACTCATAAGTGAAAAAAGTCAGACACACACATGTAAATATCATATAGTTTCCCTAGTATAAGAACTCAAAAGAAGAAATACAAATAGAAAGGTATAGTACAACTAAAAGGAAAGCAAGAACTTGAGGAGTAGACAATGAAAACAGAGCAAAGAGAAGGGCTAGGAAACATGACAGTGGCAAGCTATACAGTTATATGTAGAAGATGAGTAAGGCAATGATCCTGAGAATCTTCAGAAGATTTTTAATCTAGTAGTTAATTGGAATGATTCTCACCCTGACTAACTATATATACTGACACCTGTGAACTAATCAACTGCACTGAAGATGGCAATTTGTAATAGTAGGTTCATGCTTGGAGTGCCTGTCATTCTGGTCTTCTGAATACAGGGTGCTTGTCATGACATGCCAGTTGCTGCCATGCTGTCTCTTGGGTAGGTGATTTTTTAAAAAGAAGGAGTAGTGAATGAAGGCAGGAGACAGGAAAAGGAATGTTGCAGGACTGTCCTGCTTCAAGGTTGTATATGGTTAGATTTCTGAGCTTATGTATAAACATAAGAATTATATAATTCTTTACGCCTATTTTAAAATACATTATAATTTTTAAATGTTTTTTCATCGTATTCTGTAGGAACTTAAAGTTCAGCATATCAATACTTGATGAAAAATACCTGTTCCATGTTATGCCTAAGATGTTTGATATTTAGACATATAGTGAGGTTAAGCTTAACAGCCTAAGTTGTATGGTAATAACAATAAGCTTGTCTTCTGGATGGTTAACAACCTAAGTTTGGAGACCAAAATTAGAGAAAAAGGAGGGCCACAAAGAAAGCCAACATTTTGGCCCTAGCTTTCCAAGGTCAATTAAGACTCAGGACATATGAAAACTTGAACTGTAACATCATGTGACTTGGTAGTGTTCCAAATTTTCTGATCAAGGAGATTATGGGGCCAAAGAGGAAAGTGATCAATGATGTGGAGTGTGCCTAAGGAGAGTCACATGGAGAGAAAACATTCTCTCAGGCTTTCCAAGTGAGCATATTGGCCAAGCAATGGCCATGACTCATCCACATGGCTGACACTCACAAAGGTTCTACAATCTGAGGTACAGGATCCCAGGATAAATCCTGAGGGGATTTCACTGACCTTATAAGATCCAAAAGCTACAACTCTTGTTGCATAGGCCTTGCTTTATCTCGGTCTTAACCTTCCAGCAGAAAAGTATAAAAACGAAATATAAGAAGTAAAGTCATGCTGTTATGTTAAGCTGTAGGGGACTCAGGTCAACTATTTCTGACATTGCTGGTCAAGAGGAAGACCCAATACTATTACGGACTACTGGACTCTTTTAGAATATTTTGCTGAGTTAACACACCTATAATATTCAAATGACAAAAGTAAACAAAAAAGAGGATACAGTGAATGTCCACTTTGTATCTGTGCATTCAAAATTGTTAGGATAGATGTATAGTTACATTCTCTTAATGAATAGAAGGATTTGTTGTAATAGTGTCTGTAGGTAGGATATCATGTCTGCATCTTGTACAGCAAATAACCACTAGGAAGACTGTATACAATGTGTTAATTATTGAAACTGTCATACCAATGTGATTTGAAACTGTATCATTGCTATTTCTCTCTCAATAAAATGATGGAAAAATAAATAAATAGTATAAAAGTATTATCTTACTACTCTGTAACTGAGAGGTCTGACAGGAATCTTACTAGGCTAAAATCAAAAGTATCAGCAGAGCTGTGATTTTTATGGGAGCTCTAGAGGAATGTCTAGGAGTCTTTTGTGCATTGTAGTGACTCATTACATTTCCTGGATCACATTCCTCTTTCTCTGCATTCAGAGCCAGCACCACAGCATCTCTTACCTTGCTTCCATTGTCACATCTTGTTCTCTTACTTCCTTCTGCCCATTTTACCCACTTTTAAGATTTTCATTATTACATAAAACTTACATAGAAAACCAGGATTATCTCCCTAATTTAAGATCATCTGATCATCAACCCTAATTCAATCTGCAACTATAATCTCTTTTTACCATGTAATATAATGTATTCAAAGATTCCACAATTAGGGATGGATACCCTCAAGGGACTTCTATTCTGCATACCATACCACTCATATTTTGGTTATCCAGACTCTGTTTTGCAGAGATACATTATAAAGTTGAGATCAAAAGGTCAAGTCAGAAGACATCTGGAACAGTTGTAACTATTGTGAAGATTCCTAAATATGTCTCAATTGACACTACCACATACAACCCAGCTACACTTAAGAATAGTTTCCAACGTGCAGTGAAAATTTGATGCATAGTAAAGAATGGTGAACAGCTCATTAGTAAATGATGAAACACACACAATTACCTGTTCAGTGTAATTCAAGGTATATTCCAAAGGTCATTCAAGCCAAAAATATGACCCATGCCAATCTGTAGCAGTGCTGAAATTCCACCTGGACTAATTCCTTGGGATAAGGCAGTGAATCTTCAGAAATCATGTTGGAATATGGCTATGTTATTTGAAAGAGGTAACACAGTCGCACTAACACCCATTAGAAGAGTCTAAACTCAGTAGAAATGAATTTTGCAGTATTTTATGTATTAGGCAGTCAGGTGAAGATTTATAACAGTCTTTTCTGAATCCCTGAAGTTGATCCATATTTATAACACTACTACCAATGAAAGTACTGGAGATACCATGAGAACTGTTCTCCACTTTCATCCCAAATCCAACCTGAGGTACTCATGGAGGAATTCATCCCTTCATAATGAATCCCCTGAGTGAGGCGCTTATAACCCCAAATTGTTTATGACCCTCTTGTCAATTCAAATATTTATAAAAGGACACCACAATCATCTGCAGTTCCAGAGCAATGGTTCCCAACTGGGGTGCAATGGGAGAATATTAAACTCATTTGTAGAATTTTTGCAAATTGCATGTGACAGAGATCATTTTCCTTTTTGTGGAGATAAACAGGACTAAGAAAAACAATGAGGTCTCCAAACAAGGGGAAAAGCTGCAAAGAGAAAGATGCAACTTTCCCTGAAGGAATATCAAAGAGAAGACTTAGGAGATGAACTTTGCCTACTTTACAACACAGCTCAAAGCCAGAGCTGGTAAACAAGTGCCAAGGCAGTTTCTTTCATCCTGCTTTTCTCTTTACACCTTGTCCTACAGTTCTCATTTGAAGTACATTTACTTCCTTTAAAAGTGTAGGGCCATCTTCTTCTTCTTCTCCTTCTTCTTCTCCTTCTTCTTCTTCTTCTTCTTCTTCTTCTTCTTCTTCTTCTTCTTCTTCTTCTTCTTCTTCTTCTTCTTCTTCTTCT